TAAATAATTTCTATATTTGAAGGATTCTGTACAAGTAGAGTTTGCTTAATTATTGCCCTGTTTAACAACCAGTTGTTATGGTTTTGAAAAGCAATAAAGTAACTTTATGACCAATCCCCACATGTGACAGCATCCCTGTGGTCTCGTGATCAAAAGATGAATGCTTCACAGCCAGTGGATGTTTATAACCATCAGATAATCATCCTAAGGTTATGTGAGCACTAATTGCATACTTGACAGTTGACTTTGGACAATCAGAGTCAATAGAACAGTCACATGATGTCTCACTTAATGACCAGGATGATTTATGAACCATAGGAAGTCAGGTTGTAAATCTGTCACAATCTCATAATGTTTTGCTTAATGACCATGTGACTTAGCAACAGAATTGCTACCCCAATATTTCTTTTCAATATTATTAATATAATATAATATAATAAAATATATTTATTTAAAAGATGGAAGAATAATAAAAACAAAATAATGTCACTCATCCGTCATTCCATTCCTTTTCCAAATTATTTAGGATTTCTAAATTGCTTCAGGTTAATATGATCAGTTACATTCATACTGTTTACATTAGCTATGGCTTTGGATTCTGTATACAATAATCTAAATGTGACATATCCATAGTTTAACAACTATAACTAGGTCTTACCTGTTCAGCAAAGGGTTAGATGGCATACTGGCTAAAGCTGGCAACAGCACTCTTGCCTACAAGGCTCACTTTGATTTTCAAAGACAGTGATGATATGTAGAAGGATGGCCAAACCAAATACCTGCTATATTTGACAGACTGCAACTCCTTGAGATTTCCAATTGTATGCATCAGAACGGTCCACTCACAAAGTTTATTTTTCCGATGGTTTAGTCTTATTCTATTGTAGTGGTTCTCAACCTGTGGGTTGGGTCCCCTTTGGGGGTCGAATGACCCTTTCACAGGGGTCGCCTAAGACCATCAGAAAACACATATTTTCCAGTGGAAGAGAGGGAGGGGTTACGCGTGCGTATTCTCACAGCCTGATTGGTCCAAAGACTGAGGGAAACTTCTTAAATACTCCTCCTTTCCCATTATCTCCTAGTTTCCTCTCAGTCTTTTGGTCCAAGCACTGTTGAATTTGAGTCTTAGGTAGGAATTTCTCATTTTTCAATATTGGACTCTGTGTTTTGACTAATTGGAGATTCTAAATTCCAAATTTACTCGCTGCGGCCTCAAGGGACAGTCTTTTCTGCCTCGCGCGGTTGGGAGAGCCTCGTGGGGCATTGTCCTCCCTCTCTGCGGCCTGGAGCCCTGCTCATATCCCCGGGCCAGCGGGGGTGATGGGCTTCGTAGCGCAGCTCTGTGAGCTTGTAGAGCGCGGACTAAACTTTAGAGTGAAGCGATCCTTGCCGGTGCTTGCAGGGAAGCGCACGCAGAGGCCGCTGAGCCGCCCGCCCAATTTTAAACAGCTGCCTGCCACAGCGCCGTCCCAGCCTCAAAGGGACCACGAACTTCAAAGGCAACCCATGACATGGAAATCTTAAAGCCGCAAGAGCTCATATTCCCCGGGCCGGAGACAAAGGAAGCGAGCCGCAGTGTTTAAAAGCCAGCCACGGCCGTGCTAAACTCAACCAGCGCGACTAGAAGCCCGATGGCCATTTTAAGGTGCCACGTGCCGAAGGCCGCAAACAGCTGCATGGTCGTTTCCAGCTGNGATTGTTGTTGGCGGCAATATGCTGACTCTGTAAACCGCTTAGAGAGGGCTGAAAGCCCTATGAAGCGGTATATAAGTCTAACTGCTATTGCTATATACTTTCCAAATTGTAAAATATTCATTTTTTCTGTTGTGTATTAAAGCAAGTACATTTTTATAAGTTTGATAAGAAAATTATTGCTTTTTATTGATTTATCACACTGATATACCACCAAATCTCCCAGAGACTCCCAGTGGTTTATAATATTAGAACAATTAAAACAACCACAATAATACATTAATGCTTATAAAAGCCACTGGGATAAGTTAAAATATTAAAAATAACAACCAATAAGAATAGCCATAACAATATTATTATTAAAACAAATTGTTTCACCTGGGGTTAGTCCAAAATGAAAAGGAAGTCAGGACCTGTACTCTTGACCTTTTTATCATCTATCCAGCCCCCAACCATTACTACAACTGCTGCTTTTTGGGTCTCCTCTTCTGGCTTAGGCAATCCAAGTCCATATCAGGCAAAATAATATCCAAATCTCAGGCCAATCTCAATGCACACCATAAGACTTCCTGTCCTCTCCAGCAGCATTCTATTCAGATGAATTATTTCCTTGAAGAATGCACCCTCAGTCCCCTCCTTCATGTCAGCTCCATTTCCCATTCAATAAGGTGTCCTCCTGAGTGGATGTCTACATATTACATCCCACCACTATTGCCACTCTGGCTTCAAAGGGAGCTCACATGTCAGCTGTAAGGACCTCATCTCACCCTCGTCTGATAATATGAAGCACAATAGCCAGTCTCTCCCACACCCTGAAGACAAGATAATTTCCAAACTGGTAACCTATTCACATTTCAGCTTCGGATCCTACAGCTTCTCTCATCTCCTCCATCATTAGCATCCATCCACTTTGATAACCGTTCCCTAGCCATCTTATTGGATGCTATGTAAGCCCAGACATGCCATCTCTCAGACTAATTTCTAGCATATCTTACAGCCAATACTACAGCCACAAATAACTGATACATCCATTAAAAAAACGTTACATTCCCCCCCTCCCCAATAATCTTGGTTGTAAATAGGTAAAGAAGGACTGGCGTGTATTTTGAGTCCCATTGAAAGTAACCTCCAAAGATGGGAAATTTTTTTCTCATGTTGTCAACATTTCTTGAAATTTGACATTCCTACCTAAAGTAGCTTTCGTGATGCATCCAAATATGGTATCTCACAAAGTCTAATTTCTGTATTGAGAGTATAAGTAGTCCTTGTTTAGCAAATGTGTCTTTTCGTGACCATTCACAATTATTACAGCAATGAAGAAATGATTTTGTGACCAATCCTCACATTTACAACCTTCACACGTCTGTAAAGCAAAGGAAAACTGAAATAAGATCATAAACCCAGTTGTTGTTTCATTCAGTCACCACTTCACTTAACGATCAAGGTCCAGTCTCAGTTGTAGTCACTAACAAGTAATAGCTGTGTTTGTTTTCGGGATCATAGCATCTGTATAAGGAATAAGCACTGGAAGTTCCAGTTTTTATTGCAACATTAAAAGTTTATGTGATATCAGTATTGTTTTATGGAACAGGGATTGTGGGATTATGGGAGTTGAAGTACACTGTAACCTGAAGACTTCTAAATTCAGTCAAGTTTCATTGCACTATACAGGAAGTACTGAATGGCAAGGAAATAAGATTTTAAAAGGGTGATTTCCTTTCTTCTCTTTATTTAGATCGCCCCAGAGATATTGTGCAAAGAGGGGATCAAGGTGCACCGTACTGTACAACAGAGCGGGCAGTTCGTTGTCTGCTTCCCAGGATCTTTTGTGTCAAAAGTATGCTGCGGTTACAATGTCTCTGAAACTGTGCACTTTGCTACCACCCAGTGGACAAGCATGGGTTTTAAAACTGCCAAGGTAAAAGTGTCAAACCTTTCAAAAAGCAGAATGCCTTTTGTAAAAGCAGACAAAACACTTCACATACACGTTGTGCGCCATGCTATTCAATGAAACTAGTCATTATTACAAATACCTATTTTGCTTATAAATTTCTTAGACAGTGTCTAACTTTCAAAATGATAACCGAAATTTGGTTAGCTATTAAAACAATCAAGTCTGATTTGGAGATGTCAAATGAATTTTTGCATGTGGAAATTGGAAATTGGAAAGTTTATTTATAGGCCGCCCTTTTCCCTGGGGGGACTCAGGGCGGCTTACAATTCATGGGGAGGG